GCATGTAGTGCTAATGAACTTCCCTCTCAGGACTGCTTTCGCTGTGTCCCATAGGTTTTGGGTGATTGCTTGTTCATTTTCATTTGTTTCCAGGAAGTTTATAACTTCTTGCTTGATCACATTGGTAACCCATTCATTGTTTAATAACATGCTATTTATCCTCCATGTATTTGAGTGGTTTTTTGAGGTTTTTTTTATTGTTGTCGATTTTTAACTTCATGCCATTGTGATCGCAGAAGATGCTTGGTATGCTATCAATCTTCTTGAATTGGTATAGACTTGTTTTGTTCTAACATGTGGTCTATCTTTGAGAATGTTCCATGTGCACTTGAGAAGAATATATACTCTGTTGCTTTGGGATGAAATGTACTGTAACTATTAGTTAGGTCCATCTGATCTAGTGTGTCAGTTAAAGCCTCTGTTTCCTTCTTGATTTTTTTCCCTTTGGTCTGGAAGGTCTACCCAGGAATGTTAGAGGGTTTTAAAGTCCCCTACTATGACTATATTGCTGTCAATCACTCCCTTAAAGTCCATCAAGAGTTATTTTAAAGTATTTGGCTGCTCCTATCTTGGGTGCATATCTGTTTACAAGGGTTATATTTTCTTGGTGAATCATTCCCTTTAGTATGATTCTTTCATTTGGGGGTTGTTTCTTTGTCTCCCCATTTTAGCTATATCTTTGTATTTGCATCTATGTATTAGAACTGCTATGCCTCCCAGTCTTTATGGGGTGGCCTATGTAGAAGTGTGTTGAGGGGTCCAGTGGTGCAGCCTCTTTGCTCACCTGAGCTGGATGCTCTAGGAGTGCCCCTGTGTGCATTACCTGGGCTCCCCTGTTGTAACTGGGACTTGATTGTCCATGTCCCATTTGTGGGAGGATCTCCCCCTGACTTGCTGACAGTGAGGCTCAACCCCAACACCGTCGTGCCAGCTGTGATATAGGTGCTGACAGAACAGAACAAGACACCACAGGACCAAACCAAAAGCACCATCAAAATCAAGCCACACAATGCAACAACAACAACAGGGAAGACTAAGAAGGAAATAGAAGAGAAAATACAGCAAAGAAAAAATAAAAAGAATACTAAAAGATGCGTGACCAAAGACTTAGGGGGGATTTAAAGAAAAGTGGAGAAAGAAGAAAAAATGGCTATATGGAAGCAAGGAGGAAACTAAAAGAACTAGTATAGAAAGAAAAAAGAAAGGGAAACAGAAAATAAATGAATAATAATTAATTTAATACATAGTAGTAATGGATATATTAAGATATAGATAGAAAAGTAAAATGGAAAAAAGAGAAAAATAAAATAATAAAAATTAGTAATAACAAGAAGAGAGAAAAGGGGAATAGAATCAAAGGAAAAAGAGAAAAAGAAAAAAAGGGGGGAAAAACAAACAAATAACAACAACAAAAAGCCACACACACACACACACACACCAAAAGACAAAACCACACATATTCACACACTCGAACACCTTTGGGTCCACTATTTGTGAGGTTTGCTGGATTTTGCTCTGCTCTGATGTTGTTGAATCTTGGTGTGTCTATCCTGGGCCTCCTGGGAGCTTCTCTGGTGCATGTGAATGTGAGTCACTATCCCTTTCTGGCCCTGGGCAACCTGATTGAGGTCCAATAAGTTGAAGCCCCTAGTAGTCCAGGGACTCCTTAGCCCAGAGGCTGGGTCTGCCGAGTCTCACGCCTTGATTGTCCCTGTTCTGAGCTGTTCTCCCTCCCCCCACGGAGCTGGGCTCTGCCGGCGTGTCCTGGTCTTGGTCGGGATGGTTTGAACAGACTCGTGTTGGGGGTGGTGCCAGTAGCTTGTAGCCGGGACTCCCTCTCCTTCGAATGCCTCAGCTCTGCCTGGTTTGCTGGCAGCTCCTCTCTGTCACCTGCAGGGGCACAGATTTCCTGCCCTGGGCTGTTCCCCTTTGCCTCAGGTCGCTGCAGTCGGGTGAGAAGCAGCTGTTTTGCAGGTGGGAAGGAGGGGACCTCCCTGTCTGCCAGGTGGGCAGGGATGACCGTCCTTCCTGGATCTACTGTCCAGCCCCTTTCCTGCTCACCAGCATGAGTTCCCCCTAGAAATAGAGGGCCCGCAGATTCAATGCTGGGTGTGTCCTCAGACCCCTCCAGTGTCGGCTGGCCCTGAGCTCCACTGTGTGGCCCTTCCCGCAGAGGAGCGTCCCGGGCTGCATGATGGCGGGTGCTAGCGCCGCTCTGCCCAGGGACTTCAGCCCAGGCTCCCACTGCTGCACCCACTCCGCGGTCTCCACAGCCAGTGCCCCGCGCCTCCTCTCTGTCCCAGGCCTCCCATCTCGCCTGCAGATCGGCAGCCTCTTCTGTCTGTCAGGTCCTCAGTTCAGTAGGTCCAGGCCAGGGGCGGCTGCATCCACCTCCCAGCCTTTAGCGCAGCTCCTGCCCTGATGGTGGCGGTGGAGCCCAGCAGCTGGGCTCCAGGGCGCGGTGGCAGCGCAGTAGCGGTGGCGAGAGTTCTGCTGGGTTAGTGGTGGTTGCACAGCCGTGGCACAGAGTCCAGGCTGGGTCCCCGTCCGGTGCGTGGGGTCAAGCTGGGTGCGTACCAGGCCCATGGAGTTCCTGCCAGTGTCTGTTGTACGGGGTCTGGGTTGTGACCTCTGTGGGTGCTCGGGGTCCGGGTGGGGTACACATGGGTTTGGGCCCAGGTCACGATGAGCCCAGGTGGTGAGGAGGGGCCCCTAACTGCTGCCACTCCCCACAGCCTCCTCCCAAGAAGGCCCTTGCAAACCCTTCAAGATGGTGTGGTCTCTTAGCCAGCGGTAATCACTGTTAGATGAGGTCCTGAAGGTGGGGCCCCCAGGATGGGGCTAGTGCCCTATAAGACGAGACACCCGAGAGCTTGCTCCCTCTCTGTCTTTGCCTGTGAGGGCGCAGTGAGAGGTGGCCTCTGCAAGGCAGGGAGAGAGCGCAGACAGCATCCGGCCATGCTGGCACCTGATCATGCCCTCCAGCCCCCACAACTGTGAGACTACGTTTGCTTGGTTTAAGTCACCCAGTTTGTGGCATTTTGTATGGCAGCCTGAGCTGACTGACTGCTTGTTTTTGGCACATGGCTGCCTGTTATTTCCCCTTGTGGCATGGGGCTTGCACCTCTGTCCTGGGCCTTTCCCTCCCACAGACCCCCGGGGCTGGGGGGGGTGCCATTAGGGAGGGTAACCTGCACACGCTGTCTGAAATGCCCCTTCTCACTGCTCAGGCTCCTCAAGCAGGGTCCCTGGTCGCTGGGGACTCAGGGACATCCTAGGCAAGGCCCTGCCTCCCACTCCTGGATTCTGCCTGAAGCCTCTTGGGATGATGGTGGGCATCAGAGGTGATACCAGACGGGACATTCCAACCCTGTAGGACCCTCTGAGCTGGGGCTTGGGTCGAGAGGTGTCCGCAGCCTTGATGTGCCAGCTCTTGGGCGGGTGCTTGACGTGTTTAGAGCCTCTGTGAGTCACAGCGTGCACCCCTGGGTGGGGCAGAGTCCGGCCTGGTCCTCAGGGTAAATAGGAGACCAGGCTCAGGTGCCTTGTTCAAGGGGACAAGAGCTGGTCAGAGACGAAGGACCAAGTGGAGACTGAGCAGAGCCGGACAGAGAGGGGCAAGCCAGGCCTTGAGTAGAGGAAGGACCTTAGTTGATGTTCACACAACTACTAGTAAAACAGGACCGCCCCCACCCCACCAGGGAGTCCTGGCATTAAACTTGCTGGATGGTGGGAAGTCAAGGTTGGGGGGACAGGTCAGGGCAGCCCTGCTGGGTATCAGCACTGGCCTGGGGCCATTGCCACAAACAGGAGGGGGCCCAGACCTTGTTCTCATTGGTGGCTGGTTACCCAGTGTGTGTATGTGTGTGTGTGTGGTGGGGGCAGGCAGGAAACTGGCTTCCTGGAAAGGTCACGCTCAGACTGGTGCACAAGTCTTTGAACTTCCCACACCACTCGCTGCCCTTGGTTAAAGCCTGGAAAGGCCAGGTCAAATGCCAGAGTGGCCGAGAGGGGAGGGACTTCAGCCAGAATGCCCTCTAGTCTAGGGAGTTGCGCAGGCGGAGGTGAGGCCTGAGGAGGGTCACAGTGTGGAGGAGGAGGGTGGGGTGGTCCTTGTCCAGGAGGGCAGGCCACTGTTACAGGACAAGCAGGGGTGTGGGGTGGGACAAGAGAAGTGATAGACCATGTGAGCCCAGATTGTGCACAGGAGCGTGGCTGATGCCCCAGGAGGAAGCATGAGGCCCTGGGGGTCTGGCTGTGGCTGAGGCCTCGGCACAGGGTGAGAGGATGGTGACAGGCGCAGGGGAAGTGCAGGGGCAGAGGGCCTGGGAGGGGAGCCATGGAGCTCTGAGCTGCTGTCATGGAGGCTTTAAAACCACTTCCCCTCTCTGCCCCTCTGACGCATTTAACAAACAGGACATCCTGAGAACGGAGCGAGGGTGGCCAGTGAGCTTAGGGGAGCACTGTCCATCCCTACTTCCTCTTGGTAGCCAGGGCCAACCGCCAGCCAGCACCACCCCCTTCGGAAGGTCTTAGGGAAAACAGTGCTGCTGCTACAAAGTGGAAGGAGGCTCTGGCCAGAATCCAGGAGACCTCTTCGTTCCAGGTGAAATCAGAGAGAGACACCAGCAGGCAGCAAAGGGCTCCCGGGCAAGGAACGAAGGTGCGAGTTACCCCACTGGGTTAAATGACCCACCCACCCAGTGGGCGTGTCCTCTGCTGGACAGTGGGCGTGGCTTCTCTCAGAGGAGAGAAGCCGTCCTATGATCAAGGACCGTGGTCTATTATTTCTTCTTCCCTGCTGTCATGTGGATTTTAACATATTTCATTCAATTTTAATTTTCTTTCCTCTCTCTTCCCCCCTCTGTAACACAGGGCAGCAGTGCTCAGAGTTTTGGTCACAGGAGTTCTTTAACACTCTTAAAAATTGTTGAGGGCCTCAATGAGCGTCTGTTTATGTGAGTTATATCAACATTTACCACAGTAGAAATTAAAGCCAATAACTTTTAAAAATGTATTACCTCATTTAAAAACAACCCATTACATATTCACTTTATATAAAATTTAAAATAACCAAATTTTCAAAAACAAAAGCCGTGAGTGGAAGAGTGGCATCGGTCTGTACCGCTGCGAAGCTTTAATGTCTGGCTGATAGACGGGGTTGCACTCTCTTGTCTGCCTGTGTCTTCGTCCTGCTGCAGTATGTTGTCTTGGTTGGAGAATACAAAGCAAGTCAGCTCCTGCCAGAAGTGTAGCTGGGGAGGACTTTGTGGACTCCGGGGGTCCTCGGACCGCACTGGAGGCATGCGGTGGTAGTTGGCTCTAATGCACACATTCTGGAACATAGAGAGAGGACCATGACAAAACCAGAGGAGGAAGACACCTCTGAATGTCCTAGGCTAAGAGTTGGATGAAGTAGTTGATGAAGCAGCTCAGATTGTCTCCCTTCTCCCGTCAGAAGGGACAGGCCTGCTGTGACGCGGGGCCGGTGGTAGCACACTAGGTGGGCCAAGATTTTTGACGTGTGACGGGAAGAATGTACATCAGACAGCCAGACAGCCAAGGGACTCAGCGTAGCGCACTCCATCATTGTCTGTGGTTACCCAGCATCTGGACACCCCTCCTTTTTGGGCAAATCCTCTGCTGAGCACGTTCCGGCGGAGTCCTGCCTCCTCCTGGAGCCAAAGACGCCAGATCACCTCTCCCCATGCTCGGGAAGCTGCAGAATGAACGCATTCCCGAGGCTTCCCAGTCATGTCCCCCTTCCTGGATCCTTAACTTGGCGAGACAACTGCGGAATAACTGGCAGTGGGGGTGACACCGGGGGCACTTACTATTTAGGTGGTGGTGCCATGTGGCATCCTCACCAATGGTCCCTGAGGGACAGCCTCGCCTGGTTTCCTGCAGCATGTCTCTCATCCCTGTGCTTGCTGAGCAAGACCCCAGACTTCCTGTCAGTCTGAGCCATGGATACTCCCGACAGTTTACTTCAGCTGGGCATGCTGTGTGCCATCCAGACCCCTGGGGAGGGCTGGCTGAGGCCTGCCTCCTTCCTCATTTAGGGTGCTGCCCGGCCTGCCCAGACTGCTTCTTCCTAGTTTCCCGGGGCATCTCTGCCCAGCTGGTGTCCCTGTGCCCGGCTTGCCCTTTCTAAGGCATCCTGCAAGCCCTGGGTACAGTACCATCATGAAACTGGTGTGCTGCCTCCTGTACCCTTCCAGTCCACAAAGGGGTCTGAATGCAGGGTCTTCCTTATCTCGTTTCAAATCTATCCCCCGTGCCCCACAGCTACTCTTCTAATGATTATTGCAATACGAAACAATTAACTTCCAAAATTATAGAATGCTTGTAAAACAGAGGGGAAAAATCATTCATAACCGACCACAAATTTTCTTTTCCATCTTTAAAACTATCTTGCAACACCTGTGCAGACTATGTTACTGTCCCTTGGGTGTGTGTTGGCCCACTCCACTGTGGTTGGTTGGCCTTGGCCTTGTGCTTTGGCCAACAGAGCATGCACACTAGACACACATCACCTGTGAGCAGGGGCTGCATCTTTGCTTGCAGGCTTTGGCTTGGCCTCTTGTGCTTCTGCTATAAGAACATGCCCCAAAGAATGCTACTCCTTTGCCTGGGACCCAGACTAGAAAAAGGGATGCCTTGTGGAGACCTAGGTCAGACCCACAGCCTGTAGTGTAACCGCTGCAGCCAACCTGCAGACCTGAGGGTGAGAGTTTGCCACTGAGATTTCTGAGGATGTTTTTCCGCAAAATATGACTAATACAGTCATAATAATACAAATATAATGATTACAGGAGAAACCAGTTACCAAATTTGACACACGCTAAATACTGTGAAGAGTCAGAGGTGCATGGCAATTAGGTAAATCCCCAGGCACAGCTGAGACTGTTAATTTGCAGACTAAACAACTTTCTATAATCCATCACTCCCAGGTGACTTAATTACCCTCAGGCACAGGCTCTCCAACACGAAGCCACCTTGGGGTAGAGCAGGTAAGGCAGGTCAGGTCAGGAGAGATTGTTCTAGGTCCCAACCAGCCCCTGGCCTGACACTGTGGCCAGGGACTGGGAATCCACTGCTGCCCCAAGTCTGCCCTTCGATCCCTCCAGAAACCTGCTCCTCCGGAAACCTGCTCCTCCTTACTGAGGTCCATGTCGGAGGTAGTACTTGGGGATGGAGGGGCAATCAGGGGACACTGGGGTCCTGACAACAAAGATGGGACTGAAGTTCCAGGTGAAGTGAGATCACCCCAAGGGCAGCAGCATCCTGTGCGTTTTGCATACCCTGCTCTTGGCCTATTACCGCCCACAGGCCGGCTGCCCAGCTGCCGTGATGGGCCCTACCTTCTTGTCACTTTTAATTGTATTCTTTGTGCAGGTGGCAGCCAGATTTGAATTGCTCTCCACGGTATCTGCACTTCCTAACACCAGAGTAGGTAGGCAGGTCCTCAATGAATCTTTGAAAAAAAATGGATGAATGAATCCTCGCTTATGAAATGTTAGATCCACTGCTGCTCAGGCCTGCTCCCCAGTGACAGCTTGTGTGGACGGACAGCGTGTCATGCATGTGGCCTTGGCTCAGTCCCAGCTGAGTGAACTGAGCTGTGGCACCTCAGGCTCTCAGGTCCCTGGGGTCCCAGGGTTGGCTTCTGTAGTGAGCATGTCCCCTCACCAGGTAACTTATTTACATAATTCACAGGAAGCCCAATTTAGATTTTTACTAAGTTGATAATAAAAGTGAATTTCCTCCAGTCTTCTCCCCAGTAATATTATCAATACTCATTTTTATTTTAACCTCCTTCTGAAAGTATTTACTTGTTCTCAGTCAGAAGAACATTACTCTCCCAGGATCTGGCTTTTGCCTTCTGATTCTCTGGCACCTCACCAGCACTTACAGAAATAGTATTCTGTCTTCAAACCTGAAAAATTATTTCCCTGTTGCTGACAGATCAAAAAATGTGGACCTTAAAATAATACTGTGATCCTGTTGGCCATTTCTGGTTAAAGCCACTGCCTCAAGCTTCCAATGACAAGCAATACTTTATATTATGGTCAATTAATACTGTAAAATTCTTAGAAATGGAGCAACCACTTGCTTACTTCAGGTGTTTCTGAACATATGTTACTACCTGTGTGGGAAAATTCAAAGTGCTAATTAAGTGTCACTTTATGATCTGGTACCAAAGGATGGTGGCTCCTTCTTCTGAGAGAGAACTGAAAACTGTGCAGATTGGGTCACCTCACACCTGAGCATTAAGATCCTTGGGATTTTAAACCCCCATATTCATGCCTAGTACTTTGATAGCTTCTACACTGGGTACATATTATTGGTTTAAGCAATCTTTAAGAATATCGCAATAGACATGTATCTTCAAATATAAACTTAAAAAATACTTTAACATAATACTTGTACTGCATAGAACTAGAAATCAACATATTACAGTGCTAAAATAGTCATATAAATATCATATATGCATGGACTGACTGCATTAAAATATCTCACCTAGTAGGTTATCAAAGACTAGTATCAGTAAAGCCCAAAGAAAAACGATTTTAACAGTAGGAACACATAAATAACAACTACGAAGTTTATAAACAGGTAATGGGAGAGAGAAGTCTTTACACTTGCTTTCAATTATGTCACAACAGGCACAATCTGAAATACAATTTTAGGCTAGCAGTGTATAAAAATACTCCTTATAACAATACTTTTAATAGGTGTAGTACCACTTTAAAAAAGCCTTAGCTGTGTAATTACTCCATCTGAGGACCTACTAAAACAATTTAACTTACTGCTCCCAGTTAGCTCTTTAAGCACCAATCTGGGAAACAAGTTTTCTCACACGTCACACACCAAGCACATCGCCATATATTCACATAACCTCCTACCCATGGCATACACTGACGAGTCACCGATAGGCTCAATCTCCAAGGCAGGAGATGATGGTGTTTGGAGCTGTTTTCAGTTCTAGGATCGGGATGGATGAAAAAGAGGCAAAAGTAAGTAGACTCTGGGTGTGTTATGTATGGTTTCTACTTATTTAGGGACACTCCCACAGATGAGTTTAATCTGGCATATCAATATTTAACTTGGGAGGTGGGGGAACATACTTTCCAGGGCTCTGGGTTATAACTACCCTGGCTTTCTTCCCAAATATTGGAGCAATTTTAGGCGCATCTGGAACCGATGTTTCTTCAATATCTTCACTGTCTTCATGATGCAGATCATAGGAAATGTTCCCGTATTCTCTCAAAAACGGGAAAATTTCAAGCAGAAACTGACAGAAATCTCTGCGAATACCAAACCACCAGTGGTTGCCCCCTTTTCGCCTGAAGGTGGTGGCCATCAGAGTGATTAAGGAAAGCCAGAGGGGGACGAAGATGGAGATGTAGGAGAAAGTATTGTGGCCATCCAGTCTGTGAACCAGCAGGACCTCAAAGGTGAGCAGGGGCACGACGATGGTGATCCAGCTGATGGCCATGGTCACGTGCGTTCTCCGCTGCTCGGCCACCACGTCCAGGGACCGCAGGAACAGGAGGGACCAGACGATGTAATAGAGGACGACCAGGCAGAGGAAGGACATGAGGATCCAGAGGGGCACGAAGACCACCAGCCACGGCCAGTGGATGATCCTGTCCAGCCGCAGGGCGATGAAGATGAACTGCAGGATGTTGACGGAGCACAGGATCTCCAGCTCCAGGGACCGATCGTGTCGGAAGCCCCACACGCAGGCCGCCACGGACACGGGGGAGACGAAGAAGAGCGGCATGAAGACCAGCAGCCAGAAGTGTGTCCCCCGCTCCACCCGGTCGCAGACCAGGACTTCGAACATGAGCAGCAGCAGGTGGATGCCCACGGCGATCAGCATGGCCTTGAACTCCACGCAGGTCTCGCCCTCGGTGCGGTAGCGAGGGTTTCGGGCCCAAACGCCCGCACCCACGGAAGGCGCCCGCCATGACCAGGAGCTTCCACAGCCAGATGGGGGCGAAGACAGCCCAGTAGCTCCACTGGATGACGCCATCCAGCGGAAGGGGCAGCAGCACGGAGAAGAGCAGCAGGCAGGCGTAGATGAGGAACTTACTCGGGTTGAAGTCCTGGAACAGGCCCGGGGGTCATGGCGAGTCCCCTGCTCGCACCCGGGCCTGCCGCTCAGCCCCGCTCGGCAGGCGCTTAGTCTCCAACGCTCCCGGGGCCTTCAGTCCTCCCCTGCCCGCCCGGCCTGCGTCGCTCCGGGGGCAGCGGCGGGGGCGGCCGGGCCGAGGCGGCGACCCGCGGAGCCGAGGAGCTGGAGCACGTGCGCGCGGTCACGTGGCCGGCGGCAGCGCGGGGGGCGTGGCAGGCGCGCCCTCGCCCCCGCGACCCGGCCCTGGGCAGCCGGGGTCCCGAGCCGGGCGCTGCTCGGGCTGTGCGCCGCTCGCCTTCACTCCATACCTTCTCCGAAGGCGGTTCCTGCGTGTGGCGCCGGCAGGAGTGGGGGCGGCTCCGGCTCGGGCTCGGCGCGCCGCTGACCCCGCAGCCGGCCCGTTGGCAGCGAGTGGAACCGCGACCTCGGGGGGACGCTTCCTGGTGGTGCCGGGAGCGG